TTACTTCTCTCTCTCTCTCTCTCTCTCTCTCTCTCTCTCTCTCTCTGCACGAGGAGGATTAGGAAAGGCAGCCGCCTCATTTCCTAATAGCACGGGTGGTTTCCCAGCAGCCAAGATCACCGAGCACCATTTCTGGCCAACCGGCTGGTTTTCTCTCTCTTCGGCTTTCCTGCCCGGCCAGAAGAACAATAGCACGGGTGGTTTTTTGGCAGCCTAGATCCCTACTCTTGGGGCATCGAGCACCATTTTCGACCAACCAGCTGGTTTTCTCTCTCTTTGGCTTACATTCCCGGCCAGAAGAATAGTAGCACGGGTGGTTTTCAAGCAGCCAAGATCCCTACCCTTGAGGCACCGAGCACCATTTCTGGCCAAGCAGCTGGTTTCTTGGCGACAACCATTTCCAGCCAACCAGCTTCCCGAGGCCCCCATTTGGCAGAAACAAACTGAAAATTATTGAGGTGTGCTGTTTGCTTCTAAATGAGGACTAGTAATTTTCAAGCTCTGAAAATGGGATTCTGCTAAATCGAGGCCAAAAGACCTGGAGTGAAGCCACTATAATTCTAGAGAGTGAAAGGGGGATGTACATTAGCAGGAGGCAGAAATGTTGATTGTGGTGAGAGGAAATTAATGAAGAGTAGTGGGTGTCGGCATTTTATTGAAATTGACCTCTCAGGTAATAGACTCGCTGGAAAAATCCTGAGGTTTGAGAGAGAGGGTAGGTAGAGAAAGAGAGGGTTAGTAGAGAGAGAAAGATTAAGAGAGGGTGGATGGAGAGAGAGGACAGGTAGAGAGGGTAGAGAGAGAAAGAGAGAGGGTGGGTAGAGAGAAAGAGTGAGAGAGGGCAGGTAGAGAGAGTGAGAGAGAGTGTGGGTAAAGAGGGTAGAGCGAGAGGTAGGTAGAAAGAGAGAAAGAAAGGGTGGGTAGAGAGGATAAAAGGGTAATTTAGTCTAAAATTTTCCGACTTTTTGACTGCGGGAGCAAATATAAGAAAAAATAGTGTTGACGTTTAGGGTGTGATAATAAAAGTATTCGAGGGTAGGATGTATGCAAAGTTTATTTTGGGGGGGCATTTATAATTTTCCCTTTACATAATAAGTTTAATGCCTCCCCAGGTATATAATAAATACTAAAAATTCAAATCTAAGTATTTCTCTATCACACACATGCACACACATGCGCACGATCACACGCATGCACAAACATAGAGTATTCCTAAAATTAGCATTCAGATGAGGGAGAAAACAGGTAATATAATAGCATAAGGCCACAATGTTCTACTCTCTAACAAAACTTGGAAACTTATTCCAACTTGCGCCTTTGTTTTGTAATGGTGACATGCTGTAGGGAACATTAAATGAAATCAATTGCTCATAAGAAAGATTAATTTATTTTCTTTTTACCTGCCATTACCTTTTTATTGAAGATAAATTCAATCATTTGTACAAAGAAAGAAAAACCATCGACAATGAACAAAAGAATGAACTTTTGAGAAGCTAAGAGGACTACTGACCATTACCCCTTGTTGCATCCTGCATTGATGGAAAGAGGATATTAGCAAATACTGTGCAGGAGCTCAAAATTTGGTACCTCAAGAATTAGTCATTTTTTAAAATGACTATCTAACCCTCTGTCCGTGTTTGAAACACCAGATGAACAAGGGTAGAGAGTAAAATGCATCACATATACAAACTGCATTTCAATAAAATACCCTCAATTGTGGGTGTTTCATATACTGGACAGGGTACAAGATATTGAAGAAGAAAGGACATATCCATGCAGCTTTTGATGTTGAAAATACCTTAGGAATTTTTGAGCTTCCAAGTTTCCGGAGCACCTGCGTAATTTATGCATGTGTTCCAGGCATTCTTTCAGTTTTTTCCCCAAAAAAGGATGCAATTTATAAGGAGCAGTGACATTCACCTTGTGCAGCTTTTCAGCATGATATGTCATAAATTTGTTTGAGTAGTTTCCATTTGCCCCCTAAAATTGCCATCATCATAGAAACCATCAAATTAAAACAAGCTCTGGCAACTATAGAAAAGGAAATAAGTACTCATCATATATCAACATAGAAATAAATGAAATGTTTTTTATAAGAATGCTTAATTCAATAAGCAGTTGAGAAAGGAATATACATTGGGAAAAACATAGTCAACAACAATGGCAAAAGAGAGAAACGAATTGATGCTGGAGGTTAAAGTATTACAACAAAGCGTAAAGCTAGGGGTGGCAATGGGTCGTGTCAGGTCCGCGATTGGACCCGACCTAAAAATAAAAAATATATATTTAAATATGGAAAAAGTTTATAAAAGGTTGCAACCTTAAAATGTAGAATTACGGATGCACCACAAAAATCTATCGGAAAAGGTTTTTTAATGTTGAAAAACCCTCTAATTGATCATCTCAACAACGGAATTTATGAATATGAAAAAAAAACAAAAATTGACTACCCAAAAATAGTACATCTTACAACACATTAACCAGACCGTCAATTTTCAAGATTTTCATATATTTATAGATGTACGTGATTTTAACCATTTTTAGAGTTTAAAATTTTATAATTAAATATAAAATTAGATTTTGAGGTAATCCTAATAATGTTTTACCCCAAAATTACATGTTACGATAAAATTTGGAGGTGCGCCTTAATTGGATTGTTTAAGGTTGCAACCTTATAGAAACCACACCCTATAAATATTATATTATATTACATATATGCATGTACTATTTGAATATTATAACTAAAAATATATACTCATATGTATTAGATATTTTTTAAATATTATATACTAAATATTATTTAAATATTAACATTGTTCAGGTAAGATCGAGTAGGGTCCACATGGAACCAGACTCGAATAGTGTCCGGGTCCAAGATTTGGACCTAGACCCGACCTGACAGGTCCAATTTTTTGACCCATACCCGGATCCAGGTCGGCTCCAGGACCATTGCCACCCCTAGGTAAAGCACAGGCCATTCATTAAAATAGCTATTTAGTTAATGTCTACAAGATAACAATCATTCAATACAAAAGGCTGAATGTTTGAGTAGAAAAAATATTCTCCCAACAAAATGAAATTATTTAAGTGCACTTCGAACAACCGAAGATTCTTGAATAAGCCAAAAGCTTCCACAAGTTACAGTATTAACAATTCAGTGGTCTAAAAATGTATAATATTAGATAACCCTATCAAATCTCAACTTCGAATACAATGAAATCACTGACATGTCTCCATTAAATACTAAACTAATACACGAATAAATTGGAAATCAGACTACCACACACCAACTATATTCCTCTCAAAGTTTGAAATAGAAGAAGTGAGCAGCAATCTGATAAAACGAAGAAAGAGGGGGGCGAGGGGGGGGGCAAGAAGCATGGGGACACTCCCTTTCTTTCAAGATGAATGGACTTACTATTAAGACTTCATCAATTAATAACTTCAGTGTTGATAGCTCAGTGTTGCTCCAAAAACTGAGTACATAAATAAATATTATATGTCCAAAACCAAAAGTAAGACACTTGTGATCTCTATTCTACAGAGACGCACTTTAGGTCCTTCCCAAAGAATGAGTTGACTGCAATTTTGATAAAAATCTTCCTAGGAAAAGAAAGCAGCATTTTGCTTTGAAGTGTTTGAACAACCCATTCAAAAAAACTAAGGTGAATATCGCCTTAACAATATAGCTTTTATTTGAACGTTGGGAAACACAATTTAACATAAGAAATTGTCCTGACCTAGCAAGAATAAGAATAATAGTGCTTATCTTATTGCTATAGAGAAATACACCCCACACATGGGCATAAGTTACAACTAGTGTTTTGTAACTCGCTGTGTCTGACTTAGACTTGAGAGTACTAACCTTAGCAATCAACTGAGTCTCACTAGTTCCAAGGATCCTTTGTTAATTTTTGTAGAACTCTTTCAAATCGGACTTGGCTCCACTTAGTCTGATCCGCTAATTCAGACTAGGCCCTGCCTGGTTCCAGGCTCAAGTCCCAGTCAAAAAAAAAACTTGGTACAACCTAACATGTAGAACACATAAGTAATAATGTCCATTGTAAATATTACCCGCGAAATGATAAATCCCAACATGGAAATCCATGAGGGACCATTAATTTTCAATGTGAACTCAAGCACACGGCCGCTTCCAGGCAAAGTACCTCTTTGAAGGATGAAGGATGAAGGCCTAAAGGATGTGTATGGCGATTCCCAAAGGCAAGTTTGTTTTTTGAGTGGGAATGCTACAAATAAAAAGGTTCTCACAACTAAGCTAGTGTATAAAATTTTCTCTAAGGCTTTCCACTCTCTCCTCACTAAAATAAATGCCCGTTGAGGAAAAATGGGTTTAAACAGGAAAGTGAAATATTTGGGTCCAAGAGTAAACAACAATACTTTTAAATCTATATTGCAGAGCAAACGCTCTATTACAACAACCACACTAAAGAACTCTCTCAATGTACCTATGGTCTCTAAGTGAACTTTCATTCAAAACGAACGTGTTTATGGTCTCTAAAGTGTAGCTATAATTGGCACTAGGTATTTGAATTCCTTAAGGAAGTTGTCCCACAAAAAACCTATATTTTTTGAAAATGTCAACTGATGTATTGACTATAAGGAGAGTACAAAAAGTCGGCCACCCACAATGCGGGTGTTTGAAAGAAGAAACCCTAACAGGAACAAAACTATACAAGCATTACACGCTGACTATAAGGTCAGAAGGAAAAAAGGAAAACAAACAAAACGAGGAGACAGTTCTTAGAGGCTGGTCACAGAATTCCCAGAGGGATGGAGTCTTGGGCCCCTTCTTTAGCTAGGGAACCTTCAATGGAGTTTACCTCCCTCCAAGTATGCCTCCAGACAGTTTGAAGGTCAGTGCATCAGTGGGAAATCTCATCAAAAATGTGATCGAAGGCTGATCTAGAAGCCCAAGTACTAACATTTGCAGAGTCTCCTTCGATGATCAAAATATTACCCCACTCGCTATTGAAGTATCTAAGGCCAACAAGGCCAACAAGTAAGGCCACTTATATTGCGCATACAAATCCTCAAAATTAACATTAGTGTTTATGAAATATGGCTTAAGAATATCAATTAGTTTCCTTTTTATAGACAGCACAAAAGCACCTAGTTAGCAGTATATGACATTCCTATATGACATTCCTACACTAAGAAAGCAAAAAAATCATGTCAATAGTACTGAAAGAGAAAGATTAACAAAAATTATCAGTAAACATTCACCAATGAAAGGAATACACCTGAGAAATACTTGAACCTGATCAAACGATATCTTAAAATGAACTAGAACACGTTCTATAAAACAATCTATAAAGATGTCATTTTATTTTCATTGCATTTAGTAGTTATTGCACAAAACTCCACTAAAACATGAGCATGTTGAACAACCAAAAAGTGAATTCATTCATTGGTGCCCTGTGTCATAGCTATGTGCACACGAATCTCGTATTATCCTCCTTGAATGGGTTCACAGTGTTGGTATAGTGTCTTGCCTGGACCATCTCTTTCTGCCTAAGTTCTGAAACCTCCCCGCTCCATACTTGAGAAGTTGCATTTTGAGTAACCCCATCTTTTTCAGATTTTAAACTTAAAGAATTCAACAGAGGAGATTGTAATTATAATAATAGCAACCTTAACTTCCACATAGAGAATGAAAATGCCTAGATTCTCCTGCTAATCCTAATAATCTATAAAATAGAGAACCCAAACCAATTTTCCCAAAAAATGCACTGCCTCAATTACAGTAGGTAGAAAGAAAGAAAGATTATAGGTAGAGACAGAGACCAACCGGAGTTTATTTTTTATCTACAAAATAGAGATTGATTTCCTCACATCGTTTTCAAACAATTTGAGAAGATTCAGCAATGTATCTTGCAAATTCAAGAGGACTCAGAAGCTATTCGAAGCAGGGAAAAAATGGAAACGATGAAAAATGGTGAATAAATAACAATAAAAAACGAATCAAATAGCAACAAAAAACAGATTTCTTGCGCACACTATACTATGCCCCGTTGTACGATCAAATGGATGCTTAACTCCAAAACAAATAAAAAGCCAAACACTATCAACTAAATGGGTCATATTTACAGTCAAAATGAAAAATCAATAAATGGGTTGTAATAATCAAGACTAATACAAACAAAATGACCGTATCATAGTCTTTGAACAACCGTCCAACCTGAAGAAAAGAAAAACCAAAAAAAAAAAAGGTGAAAAGACAATTCATTGTTAGAGGGAAAATCCCCAAAAAGGCAAGCAAAATCAAAGATAACAAAAATATAAGGGAACCAAAAGATAACCAGAAAATGAAAGGTAAACTCACCTTATTCTGGAAATAAAGTAAAAGTACAAATCCTCTGAAAAAGAAATGAGGGTTGCAATGGGCTTGTCACTAAATATATATAGAGAGAGAGTATAAATTATGGGCAAGGGCTTTAAGTTTGTGTTAAAACTCGAAACCCTCTCTCTCTAAAATTTGTGAACATAAAACCCTCTCTCACAGACACTCTCTCTCTCAAATCTTGGGCCAAGGGTTTATTTCGTGTTCAAACTTAAAACTTTAAACCCCTTCTCTCTCTCTCTCTCTAAAATAAATTTGTGAACATAAAACTCTCTCGCACACTCTCTCTCAAATTTTTTGAACATAAAACCCTCTCTCACACACACTTTCACTCCCTCTTTGAAATCTGGAGCAAAGGGTTTATTTTGTGATAAAACTTGAAACCCTCACTCTCTCTCTCAAAAATTGTGAACGTAAAGCCCTCTCACACACTCTTAAAAAGTATGAACATAAATTCACACTCTCTCTCTAAATTTGTAGACATCAACTTCTCTCTACACTTTATTGATGATCAATTTGATCACGGAAAAACATGGTTGTAAGATTCATCACCATTGAATCAATGAGTTGGACGGTGATGGAGAGAGGTAAGACGTATAGCATGACCCACTCTTTATCACCGTTTGAATTTTCCTTCGCATGGTGATGAAGATTGCATGGCATACTATATAATAGGGATTGTATATTATCAAACCATTTACATGTTGTACAAGAAAGGCACAATGGTTCTCAGCCATTTATTTTCAAATCAAGTGGCTAGGGTTGCATCAAAATGTTAAAAACAGAAAAAAAAACAATTTGCTGGACTTTGAGCTTTTTAGTAGCACATCGATCCTATGACCCTCTTACACTAAAAGTAAATAATACCTACATTATGCAAGAGCATATCTATATCTATATGTATACTACATTATTAAGCCGAGTCATGGGGTGGACAGCGTCGCGTAAATAACAAGAAGCCTTAGTTCTTCTATACTACATGTTTAAGCCTTAACGGTGAACACATGTCGTAACAATAAAAATGGGTCCTAATTCTATAGACATTGTATGATACATTCTCATTTTTTAAAGAGAAATTACACACCTATTTTAGGTGCGAGAGAGAGTATGCACCGATTTTAATATAGGAAAATGATGTTTAAGAAAGAGATGCTTACAATACTTAGGAGAGGAGAGAGAGAGAGAGATTAGAGAGATAAATAGCTTTTCCATCTCTAGGGAGAGAGAAACTCAGGGCGCTACTATATTATTAAGCCGGAGTAAAACGGTGGACACGTGTCGTAAAAATAAGAGGGGGGCCCTAATTCACACGACATTGTATTGCATTAATTCATCACACATGACATCGAATCTCTATCATGGACGAAATTTATTCTTATATTCACAGCCAAAAGGTTATCTTTGAATATAGTTTCTTATAACTTTTCTATTAATTTTTCATTTTTATTTTTTCTATTATTTTTATTGTTTTCTATGTTCATATTTTTTTAATTATTTTATTTTTTCAAAGTTACTCTCACCAATCTATAAAGCTCAATGAATATATTCATCTTTTCAAGTAATTTGTCGTATTTTCCATTAAATTATCAAATGACACTACTTGTAAGAAGGTCATAGGACCGATGTGCTACTAAAAAGCTTAAAGTCCAGCAAATTGTTTTTTTCTGTTTTTAACATTTGGATGCAACCCAAACCACTTGATTTGAAAATTAATGGCGGGGAACCATCGTGACTTTCTTATTCAACAAGTAAATGGTTTGATAATATACAATCCCTATTATATTGTATGCCATGCAATCTTCATCACCATGCGAAAGAAAATTCAAACGGTGATAAAGAGTGGGTCATGCTATACGTCTTGCCTCTCTCAACGCCCAACTCCTTGATTCAATGGTGATGAATCTTACCACCATGCTTTGCCGTGATCAAATTGATCATCAATAAAATGTAGAGAGAAGTTAATGTCTACAAATTTAGAGTGTGAATTTATGTTTACACTTTTTTAGAGAGAGAGTGTGTGTGAGAGGGTTTTTTATGTTCACAATTTTTTAGAAAGAGAGTGAGGGTTTCAAGTTTTAACACGAAATAAACCCTTGCCCCAGATTCAGAGAAGAAGTGTTCAAAAAATTTGAGAGAGTCTGCACGAGAGTTTTATGTTCACAAATTTAGTTGAGAGAGAGAGAGAGAACGAGGGGGATTAAAGTCTTAAGTTTGAACACGAAATAAACCCTTGCCTCAAGATTTGAGAGAGAGAGTGTTTGTGAGAGAGGGTTTTATGTTCAGTAATTTTTAAAGAGAGAGGATTTCGAGTTTTAACACGAACTTAAACCCCTTGCCCATGATTTCTACTCTCTCTATATATATATTTAGTAATAGGCCCTTTGCAACCCTTATTTCTTTTTCAAAGGATTTGTACTTTTACTATATTTCAAGAATAAGGTGAGTTTACCTTTCATTTTTTGTTATCTTTTGGTTCCCTTATATTTTTGTTCTCTTTGATTGTCTTTTCAC